GGGGGGGGGGGGGGGGGGAGCAGATGACCCTGGTGCAGCTGATTTTTTTCCTGAGCAGAATGAGAAAATGCAGCCCCAAGTGGAAACCCCACCGTTTTATTGGGGAAGGAGAGCGGAGAAGGGAGAAATACTCAGGTGGCTTGGGAACCCTTTCTACGTATGGGCTAACTCACCTTTCAAGTAAACAGAAGACACCTCTCTCGACAAAACAGCCCTTGCTTTCGATGGCCCAGAGGACTTCCTATCCAAGCAGGACCCTACTTGAGGGAATGGCTCTTTTCATAGTTCCCATCCTTCTCCCCAGTTTTTAAAACTACCAATACCAGTTCATGATTAATCCAGTGCATTCTGAGCTCAGTGTTTAGGCTTTTTGGGGGGGGGGGAGGGGGAAGGAATAATAACAATAATAACAATAATAATAATAATAAAACACAATCAGTAAGCTTGGAACGCAGACATCAAGCTGACTTGGCAAGTTCCTTCATAGGTACGAGTAACAGTGATTATAGCCATGACACAAGGGGGGTATTTTTGTTGGTGTGGATTTCGTTAATGGCTGGGTCCTAGTTCCTGGCGAAGGTTATTCGGCCTTTTTCTTCACGGTGCCGGGCAGCTTTGCTTGGATCCTGGGAAAAGAAAGAAAGGCGCTAAGAATGGAGGGTCTGACTGCAGACTACTCCCTTGGTGGGCATCAGGGTTCTTGCTCAAGCTGATTCTCAATTATTTTTAAGAACAAAGATTGAACAAGTGGCCTCCTCTTCACCTCTAGGATGAACAAGGCTCAACCGGCCTTCTTGGAAACAAAAAACTGACTAGCTGCAGCCCAGAACTTTCTTCTGAAATGCATACACCAGCCTGGGGGGCGGGGGGGAGACAGAGGTAAAACCAAAGGGGTGGAAGCTTAATACCCCTTTGAACCCACCCCATGATACCCCATAATCCCCGAATTATTTTTTTAGAAGCCCCATATTTAGGATTCCTTCTTTCCTTTCTTCCTTCCTCTTTCCCTTTTTCTCTTTCTTTCCTCCCTCTCTCCCTGTTTTTCCTCCTTCCTTTCCCCTCCCTTCCTTTCCTTTCCTGTCCTATCCATTGTATTATGTCTGTTTCTTTTCCTTTCCCATTCTCTCTTCCTTCCCTCCCTCCCTTCCACAGTATTAAGCCCAGCTACCTCCTAGCATATCAGCTCTGGCCAATGGGCTTGTTTCATTGCCAAGGAAGTCCTGGGGCTGCCAGGCCTTGCTGGGTAATGCCCCTTAGCACTCCTGAACCGCTTCCACCATCTTTGGGACTGGAAGCGGGGAGGAATGTCTTGCAGCTACGTGGCCAAGCCTTATTATTTCTGCGCTTGGGAGTAAAGCAGGCTGTTTGCCAAGCTCACCAGAGGCACCGTTTGATAACTTTGATGCAACTCACTTTGTAACGGCGGACTTGACTTGATCCCGGATGATCCCAACATAATGGTCGATCTGAGTCTGAGAACGAAAGCAACAGGATGAGAGAAACAGAATGACTGCCAAGGATAAAAGATGTCAAATTCTCCATCCATGGCTCTGGTCCCCCACCCCCTGCTGTCAGACCTTGTACAACACATCCCACATGTCCCCAGCCTCTAATTTTGTGCTCCCCATGAGGGTGGTGACAAAAAAGGGGGAACAAAATTGGTTTTGATTCTTATTTACTATTTCAGTCCTAACAAGCTACCCATCACCAGCCAAATGTCCAAAAGATGGGATCAAAAGCTCTGCTCCCTTTGGTGAACACACTGCCATGTTCCCCTGAGAGTTTCAGAGCCTGGGGAGGAGTTTGTGACTCCGTGCTGTCTGTTTTATACCAGAAAAAATGTTGGAAAGTGCCTGAGGTTCCCCAATATTGTCAAGCCACCCACTTTTCAAAAAACCCCATTACTCTGGCATTGCTGGAACAATCCTGATCCAGCCAAGGAAGACACACCACCTACTATTATTTCGGAACAGCTTGGACCCTCCAACCTCCTTACGCCTGCCCAAAACTCTGGCGACTGAAGCTACCCACCTTGTATTTCTCATAAACGACCGGGACGCTGAAAACCAGCAATTCCCCTAGAAAGAAAAAAGACATTGTCGGTCAAAGTGGCGAAGCCTGATTCTGGAGAGGCGGTGGGGCGAACCAAGTGGACTGCGAACCCAAGAGTGGGTTGAAAAACTGAGGGTAAGCCTGAGGATC